ATTTTTTTTTTTTTTACTTTTTAATAATAGCATTCTGACTGGTGATAGATGGTATCTCACTGTGGTCTTGATTTGCATTTCTCTAATGATCAGTGATATTGAACTTTTTTCATATGTTTGTTGGCTATATGTATACCTTCTTTAGAAAAGTATCTGTTCATGTCCTTTGCCCACTTTTTAATGGGGCTGTTTATTTTTTCTTGTAAATTTGTTTAAGGTCCTTACAGATGCTGGATATTAGACCTTTGTGAGATGCATAGTTTGCAAATATTTTCTCCCATTCTGTACATTGTCTGTTTGCTCTATTAATAGTTTCTTTTGCTGTGCAGAAGCTCTTAAGTCTAATTAGATCCCATTTGTCAATTTTTGCTTTAGTTGCAATTGCTTTTGGCATTTTCATCATGAAATCTTTGCCCATTCCTATGTATAGGATAGTATTGTCTAGGTTGTCTTCCAGGGTTTTTATCATTTTGGTTTTATATTTAAGTCTTTAATCCATCTTGAGTTGATTTTTGTATATAGTTAAGGAAGGGGTCCAGTTTCAATCTTCTGCATATGGCTAGCCAGTTATCCCAGCACCATTTATTGAATAGGGAGGTGTTTTTTTCCCCCACAATGCTTGTTTTTATCAGCTTTGTTGAAGATCAGATGGTCATAGGTGTGCAGCATTAGTTCTGGCCTCTCAGTTCCATTGGTCTGTATGACTGTTTTTGTACCAGTACTGTGCCATTTTGCTTACTGTAGCCCTGTAGTAAGTTTGAAATCAGGTAACATGATGGGCCCAACTTTGTTCTTTTTGCTTAGGATTGCCTTGGCTATTCAGGCTCCTTGTTTGGCTCCATATGAATTTTTAAATGTTTTCGTTTTCTAGTTCTGTGAAGAATGTCACTGGTAATTTGAGAGGAATAGCATTGAATCTATAAATTGCTTTGGGCAATGTGGACTTTTTAATGATATTGATTGTTCCTATCCGTGAGCGTAGAGTGTTTTTCCATTTCTTTGTGATATCCCTGACTTCACTGAGCAGTGCTTTGTAAGTCTCATTGTAGAGGTCTTTCACCTTCCTGATTAGCTGTAATCCTAGGTATTTTATTCTTTTTGTGGCAATTGTGAAGGGGATTGTGTTCCAGATTTGGCTCTCAGCTTGGCTGTTGTGGATGTATAGAAAGGTTATGACTTTTGTATGCTGATTTTGTATCCTGAAACTTTGCTGAAGTTGTTTATCACCCGAAGAAGCTTTTGGGCTGAGACTATGGGGTTTTCTAGACATAGAATCATGTTGTCCACAGACAGGGATAGTTTAAGAAAAAAATTGTAAATACACCAAAACGTATGAGTTTCACAAGGTCAATATATGAAAATCAATATTATTTCAATATAAGATCAATGAGCAATTAGAAATGGAAATTTCTTTAAAAATAGCATTAACTATAGCACAAAAAACATGAAATACTTAGTTAAATGTAATAAAATATGTTAAAACCTGTATAAAATTTGATTCTTTGAAAAGATCAATGAAATAAATATCTAGCCAGACTGATCAAAAAGAGAGAAAGCACAATTTTTCAGTATTACAGATGAAAAAGGAGACATCACTACAGGTGCTAATTACCCTAAAAATTAAAATAAGGGAATATTATGAATACCTTTATACCAATAAATTTAAAATGACAAAAAAATTACTAAGTTAAGAGACCTAAGGAAAAGGGGAGATATACTATGTTCATGAATCAGAAGACTCAGTATTACTAAGATGCCAATTTTCCCTAAAGTGATCAATAGATTCTCTCCAAACACAATAAAAACAGCAGTATGATTTTTGGTAGGGATATTAAGCTGGATCTAAATCTTATATGGAAACACAGAAACAGAATAAGCAAAACAGTTTTGAAAAAGAACAAAGTTGGAGATATATTACATGGCTTAAGGCTTACTATAAAGCTTCAGTAACCAAGATAATGTGGTATTGGCATAAGGATAGACATTTGTATATGTCTAAATATTTACATATCTATCTATATCTATACATCTTCACAGAACAGAATACATACATATCTATCAATCGATGTCTATCTACCTACCTACCTACCTATCTGTCTACCTAGTTATCTATCTATCTAACTATTCATAGAACAGAATAGAAACTCCAGAAATAGACCTATGCAATTGATTTTTGGGGGGGCAACTGTTCTAAGGTAATTCAATGGGAAAAATATAGTTTTTCAACAAGTGGTAATAATTATTGGGCCCAAAAAATGAGCTTCAACCCTTATCCTCACACCATATACCAAAAATAATTCCATATAGATCATAGAGCTAAATGTTAGAACTAAAATTATAAATATAGGCTCAGTGCAGTGGCTCATGCCTGTAATCCCAGCACTTTCGGAGCCCAAAGCAGGTGGATCACTTGAGGCCAGGAGTTTGAGACCAGCCTGGCCAACATGGTGAAACCCTGCCTCTACTAAAAAATACAAAAATTAGTCAGATGTGGTGGTGCATGCCTGTAATCCCAGCTACTCAGGAGGCTGAGGCATGAGAATCACTTGAACCCAGGAAGCAAAGGTTACAATGAGCCACGATCATGCCACTGCACTACAGCCTGGGTGACAGAGCAAGACTCTGTGTCAAAAAAATAAATAAATAAAATAAAATTATAAATATTCTTGAATAAACTACAGAGGGAGATTTTGTGATTTGGGGCTAGGCAAAGATTTTTGGTAGGACGCAAAAAGCATAAATTTTATAAGAAAAAATGGATAAGTTGGACTTTTAAATGTTTGCTTCTCAAAAGACTTTGTTAAATACATGGAAAGACATACCACAAACAGCCATGAAATCTTTACAAAACATATATGTGATAAAGAATCTGTATCCAGAAGTATGCAGGACTCTTACTATTCAATAACAAGAAGAAACTAGTTCAATTTTTTTTAATGTACAGAAGATTTGAACATACACATCACAAAAGCTATACAAATAGTAAATGAAAAGACACTCAATTTCTTCAGTTATTAGAGAAATAGCAACTAAAATCATAATGAAATACCATTATATATTCATTATAATGACTATTTTTTTTTTTTGAGACGGAATGTGGGGAAATGAAAGCTATCAGACTGTTACTGTGTCTATATAGAAAGAAGTAAACATAAGAGACTCCATTTTGTTCTGTATTTGAGATGCTGTTAATCTGCAACCCTACCCCCAACCATGTCCTTGCAAGAGACATGTGCTCTGGTGACTCAAGGTTTAACAGATTTTGGGCTGTGCAGGCTGTGCTTTGTTAAACAAGTGCCTGAAGGCAGCTTGCTGGTTAAAAGTCATCATCATTCTCTTAATCTCAAGTACCCAGGGACACATACACTGCAGAAGGTCGCAGGGACCTCTGCCTAGGAAAGCTAGGTATTGTCCAAGGTTTCTCCCCATGTGATAGTCTGAAATATGGCCTCGTGGGAAGGGAAAGACCTGATCGTCCCCCAGCCTGATACCCATGAAGGGTCTGTGCTGAGGAGGACTAGCGTAAGAGGAAAGAAGGCCTCTTGGCAGTTGAGATAGAGAAAAGCATCTGTCTCCTGCCTGTCCCTGGGCAATGGAACATCTCAGTGTAAAAACCCAATTGTATGTTTTATTTACTGAGAAAGGAGAAAACTGCCTTAGGGCTGAAGGTGGGACGTGCTAGCGGCAATGCTGCTCTTTATGCACTAAAAAGGTTTATGGAAATGTTTGTATATGCATATCAAGGCACAGCACTTTTCCTTAAACTTATTCATGTCACAGAGATCTGTATTCATGTCTTACTGCTGACCTTCTCCCTACGATGATCCTATTATCCTGCCACTTCCCTTTTTCTAAGATGGTAAAGATAATGATCAATAAATACTGAGGGAACTCAGAGACCGTTGCTGGCGCAGGTCCTCTGTATGCTAAGCGCCGGTCCCCTGGGCCCACTTTTTCTTTCTCTATACTTTGTCTCTGTGTCTCATTTCTTTTCTCAAGTCTCTTGTTCCACCTAACGAGAAATGCCCACAGGTGTGGAGGGGCAGGCCACCCCTTCAACGGAGTCTCTCTCTGTCGTTCAGGCTGGAGTGCAGTGGCGCAATCTAGGCTCACTGCAAGCTCTGTCTCCCAGGTTCAAGCCATTCTCCTGCCTCAGTCTCCTGAGTGGCTGGGACCACAGGTGCCCACCACCATACCCGGCTAATTTTTTGTATTTTTAGTAGAGAAGGGGTTTCACCATGTTAGCCAGGATGGCCTGGATCTCCTGACCTCGTGATCTGCTGGCCTCGGCCTCCCAAAGTGCTGGGATTACAGACGTGAGCCACGGCGCCCAGCCAATAATGACTAAAATTTAAAAGGCTGACAATAACAGCATAGGCAGGAATATGGTGCAATTGGAGTTCTCAGACATGGCTGGTGGAAATGCAAAGCCACTTCAGAAAACAGATTGGTCATTTCTCATATATTTAAACATATACTTACTACATCACCCAGCAATTTCACTATTAGGTATTGACCTGACTTAAATGCATACAGATGTTCATACAAAGAATGTAAAGCTTCACAATGGGCTTTATTCATAGTAGCTCCAAACTAGAAGCACCCCAAATGTCCAACAGGCTTAATGAACAAACAAATCTTGATTATTCACAAAATGGAATACTAGTAAAGAACAATAAAAAACAGTATGATTTATGCATAAACATAAATAAATCTCAAAACCATTAAGCGCAGTAAAAGAAGCCAGACTCAAGAGACTATCTACCTTATGATTCATTTTTATGACATTCTAGAAAAGGTTAAACTATGGTGACAGAAATCAGATCAGTGGTTGCCGAAGAGTGGAGGTGTGAGAACAGAGTCGAATGTTATGTGACAGAAGGCAATTATAGTGAGTGATTAACATATGCTATACCTTGACTGTGGTGGTGGCTACATGACTACATGCATTTGTCAAAACTCATCAAACAGTACATTTAAAAAACATGAATTTGGCGGCGGCGACGGCAACATGGAGAGCGGGGCCTACTGTGTGGCCAACGCGGGCGGCTCCTTCCACCTGCGGCGCTTCCTGACGCAACCGCAGGTGGCGGCGCGCGCCCTGTGCAGGATCTTTGCCTTGATCGTGTTCTCCTGCATCTATGGCGAGGACTACAGCAAGTCTAAGCAGATGTACTGCGTGTTCAACCACAACGAGGACGCCTGCCGCTACGGCAGTGCCATTGGGGTGCTGGCCTTCGAGGCCTCGGCCTTCTTGGTGGCCGACGTGTATTTCCCCCAGATCAGCAACGCCACTGGTCGCAAGTACCTGGTCATTGGTGATCTGCTCTTCTCAGCTCTCTGAACCTTCCTGTGGTTTGTTGATTTCGGCTTCCTTACTAACCAGTGGGTGGCCACCCAACCGGAGGACGTGCCGCTGGGGGCCAACTCCACGCGGACAGCCATCACTTTCAGCTTCTTTTCCATCTTCTCCTGGGACGTGCTGGTCCTCCTGGCCTATCGGCGCTGCAAGGCTGGCGTGGAGGACTTCACCCAGAACGACATCGACTCCACCCCAGACCTCAACACTGCCTACGCCTCCTACCCAGGTGCATCTGTGGACAACTACCAGCAGCTGCCCTTCACCCAGAATGCGGAGACCACTGAGCGCTACCAGCCGCCCCTGTGTACTGAGTGAAGTTCGGGGTGGGAAGCGGGGCAGAGAGGACCCTCCCCTCTGCCCTGGACTTTCCCACGAGCCTCCTGGAACTGCCAGTCCCCCTCCTTCGCCTGTCCCATCCTGTGCAACTCAACACACAGCTAAGGAGCCTCCCAGCCTGGGGGGCTGGCAGAGCCACAGTGCTTGCACCCAGGGGGCTTTAGTCAGACACACTCTTCCAGGGCACTTTTAGGAAAGGGTGTTTAGCTAGTGTTTCTCCTTGCTTTTAATGACCCCAGCCCTTCCTGGAGTGGCTAGAAGCCAGCAGGCACCCATGTGCTACTGACAAGTGCCGCTGCTTCCCCCCAGCCCAGGTCAGGCTGTGGGAGCCGCTGTTTTCTGCCAAAGACGCGGGGGAGCCCTCACACCTGCCCTGTGCAGTGGGGCAGGACCAGGCTCCTGTGTCCTCACTCAGGTTTGCTCCCCCTGTCTCCACTGCTGTATGATCTGGGGGCCACCCTGTACCAGTGGTCTCTGGTCTGCCTCCCATGGCGTGGGGGTGGGGCTCGAGACCACAACACTTCCTCCTTGCTCCCTCTCCTGGCAGCAGGGAAGGGCTTTGCCTGACAACACCCAGCTTTATGTAAATATTCTGCAGTTGTTACTTAGGAAGCCTGGGGAGGGCAGGGGCGCCCCATGGCTTCCAGACTCTGTCTGTGCCCAGTGTATTATAAAGCCTTGGAGGAGATGCCCGGCCCTGGGATGCTGTTTGAAGATGGAATAAACGTTTTCTCATTCAAAAAAAAAAAAAAGAACAAAAAGATGAATTTTATGTTTTGTAAGTTATACCCAATAAAGCTGATTAAAATTTCTAAAAATATTCTGTTCATTTCTACCTTTTACCCCCTCACATTCTGTAGTAGTGATTAGTGCTGTTCATCAAAGATTCCCAGCTCCCACTTTCCAAGCACATAATAGGTTTGTACTTCTTGGTTCTCTTCTGATTGGATGGGGCCATGTAACTAATTAGGGCCACTGAGTTGTGAGAGGAGTAATATCACTTCCCTATGGGAAAGCTTATATGACCATGTGACAAGTTCCAGGACCCTCCCTCTCCCTAGGCCAACAACCAGCAATTTTGAGATTATGGCTGCTCTATCAGCATGGGCTTTGATAGACTCCAAAGACAAAGTTTCCTTCTGAGCTAAATAGATATGAAACATGAATAGGAAATAAATTCTTGTTGTTTAAAGCCACTGAGATTTTAGGATTGTTTGATGCCACTGTATAATTTTTCTTTTCCAGGATGATAAAGAAAATGGTACCCAGAATTGCTGGGGGTGCAATTTAAAGAATTGTATACAAGTGTACATATGTAGATAGATACTACTTATATACATGCTTAGGAGAGGCAAAGAATTTTTTTCCAGTATGGGAGAACGCTTTCCAGATTTATGTGAGGGGGAAATATATGTTTAACTGTTACCTAAGATAACTTGGAAGGTAGATTTGTGTTCTGAATTAGTTCATAGGCCTGGGGAAGAGGTTGAAAAACAGAAAGCACTTGTTAATTATTGTTATTATTATTATTTTTATTTGAGATGGAGTTTCACTCTTGTCGCCCAGGCTAGAGTGCAATGGTGCGATCTCGGCTCACTGCAACCTCCGCTTCCCAGGTTCAAGCAATTCTCTTGCCTCAGCCTCACCAGCAGGTGGGATTACAGGTGCCTGCCATATTAATTATTATTAAATTAATTTGAGAAAACATTAAAATAAAGGCAAGAGTTCAGTTTATTAGAAGAATAAAAGAGAATAGAGAGAGTTCAGAAATTCAGGGACTCGCAGATTTTGAAAAAGTAACTCTTTCTCATCTGCAATTGGCGAAAGAAGAAAGTGGGAAGACCTTTGGGTGAAAGTCCAAACAAAAATTTGACACCTCAGTTTCTTTTAACTGAATAATAAGGCTCAGGAAAAAGATAATGAAAGCATGACTTTCCCACCTGAGCCTGACAGACTCATGTGCCCACAAGCAAATTGAGAGAGTTACGAGAATGAGAAAGCCTAGGAATACCGCAAATGTAACATGCATGTCTAGAAAATAACTTGAGTGTGGCTAGGGGCACATTGGTGTTGATAGGAGTCAAAAAGATAAATAGTTTGCTACACCTTTGGAAGCATCATGAAGCAACAATTTGGTTAGGGACTTGTTCTTCACGTAGAGGGCACATGGAACACTGATGTAGTAGACAATTTGGAGTATGCCAGTTGGGGAAGTTCTATCATATGGCCACACATTTTTTGACCCTCTTTTTATCTGTGCTTCTTACTGCTTCGACCAATAAAGCACAGCAGAAGTGACACTATGTTCCTTGTTCACCGGAACACTCATTTTTAGAGCCCCGAGCTGCCGTGTAAGAGGTCCATCTTACCTGAAGAAGCCCAAGTCAAGGGGAGGCTACTCATCTAGCTGTTAGGTCGACAGTGCCATCTAAGCACATCCTGCAGCCATTTCAGCCCAAGCATAGAATATATGAGTGAAGAAGCCATCTCAGAAGTGAATCCTGCAACCCAGCTCTTTATCAGCACCCCGCCATTCCATCCATCCCAGTCCATCCCAGCTGAGACCCAGACATCATGGAGCAGAGAAAAGACTGGCACACAGTGCTCTTTCTGGACTTCTGACCTACAGAAACCATGAGCAGAGTGAAATTTTGTATTTTACACCATTTGTTGAAGTGATTTGTTAGGTAACAATAGATGTTATGGGCTGAAAAGTGTGTCCCTTAAATTTATATGTTGAAGCCCCTAGTACCTCTGACTGTAACTGTATTTGGAGATAGGGCCTCTATAGAGGTAATTAAGTCAAAATGAGGCCATTTGGGTGGGCCTTAATCCAATTTGACTGGTGTCCTTATAAGAAGGAAAGATTAGGGTGCGCAGAGAGGCACCAGAGATGAGTGAATACAGAAGAAAGAGCATGTGAGGACACATTGAGAAGGCTCCCATCTGCACGCCAAGGAAAGAGGCCTCAGATGAAACCAAACCTGCCAACGCTTTGATCTTAGACTTTCATATAGTTTGGATATTTATCACCTCCAAATTGCATTTTGAAGTTTGATGCCCAGTCAGCCAGCATACTTGTACTTGACTTATACTTGTAATCCCAGCACTTTGGGAAGCCAAGGCGGGAGGATTGCTTGAGGCCAGGAGTTTGAGACCAGAGTGAGCAGCACGGCAAGATACCATCTTTAGAGAAAAATTTAAAAATTAGCTGGTCATGGTACCATGCACTTGTAGTCCTAGCTACTTGGGAGGCTAAGGTGGGAGGATGCTTGATGCCAGGAGTTCAAGACTTCAGTGAGCTACGATTGCACCACCACACTCTAGCCTGTGTGACACAGCAACACCCTGTCTCAAAAAATAAAAAGAAAGAAATGCAGCCAGGTGCAGTGGCTCACACCTGTAATCCCAACACTTTAGGAGGCTGAGGCGGGTGGATCACTTGAGGTCAGGAGGAGTTCAAGTCTAGCCTGACGAATATGGTGAAACCCCATCTCTACTAAAAACACAAAAATTAGCCAGTCATGGTGGCATGCACCTGTAATCCCAGCTACCTGGGAGGCTGAGACACCAGAATCACTTGAACCCAAGAGGTAGAGGTTGCAGTGAACTGAGATCGTGCACCACTGCACTTCAGACTGGGCAACAGAGCGAGACTCTATCTCAAAAGAAAACAAAATTTATCCTCAATATTGGAGGTCACGATGAATGGCTTGGTTCCGTTCTTGTGGGATTGAGTCCTTATTCTTAGTTCCTGTAAGAGATAGCTACTAGAAGGAGCCTGGCATCTCCTTCTCTCGTTCCCTCCCTTGCTTCCTTCCTCTTACCATGTGATGTCGGCTCCCCTTCACCTTCTGCCGTGAGTGGAAACTCCCTGGGGCCCTCACCAGAAGCAGATGCTGGCAACATGCTTCCCGTACAGCCTGCAGAACCATGAGTCAAATAAATTCATTTTCTTTATAAATCATCCAGCCTCAGGTATTCCTTTATAGCAACACAAAAAGACTAAGACAGACTTCTAGCCTCCAAACTGTGAAAAACAAATTTCTGATGTTTAAGTCACTCAGTCTGTGATACTTTGTTATGGCAGCCCTAGCAAACTAACATATACAGATAAGTGGAACCACTGCCAAGCTCAAGAAAAATATTTTCTCCCCCATTTCCAGCCAACTCTGCCAAAAACACAGAGACTCCCGTATCCTTTCTTTTTAAGACTGTGACCTTCATCCTTAACATTTACTTAAAATCTAGACTTTGGGCTCATTACTAAAGCCTAAAGAATGGGATCCTCTCAGATGGAAATTGGTTTTAGGATTCAGAGAGAACTAGGGAATTTCCTCACTGTGGGCCCAGGAGTAGAAAAATCAGAGGTGAGCTCACGGAGCAGACGCTAAGGAATAAGCAGGTAAAACTGACTGGGCAAGTTCTGTAAGATTTTTCCATTTTCTAATCTAGAAGAACTTTTTTGAGGGGCAGCTATATTCAGTCTCTTCTGAGAGATAGCCGAGCGTCCTTATTGTAAACTCTCAATCTTGATTAAGTTAGCTCAAGTTGGTTTCTATGACTTGCAGTCAGGAAATCCTAAATAATCCAAGTGTCAGTTTGGGCCTAATAACTGTGGACATCCTTGGGATGGAGGCCTGGACAGAAGCATGTGAGGGGACCCCTATTCCCAGCTTTCAACTCACCCCTAACATGCCCAGAAATGACTGGAGAGACCTTTGGGGAGGTCAAGAGGTCTTACATGAGCACTTGGGCAAGAGGGGTCAGACAAATATCAGTTATTACGGTAAATGTGACCTTATCCTCACAGCCTTCAGAGGCCTGAGGAAATTTGAGTTACAGAGAGATAGATGAAAACAATTGCAGAAATCTGTGACAATAGTGCCAGGCAGACCAAAACCCAGAATGAACTGTGGTTTCCAAAAAGTGCTGAAGAAAAAAAAGTCACTTCAGGAAGAAACACAAGGCAAATTGAA